AAAGGTTAGCATTAAAAAATTTTTAACCACTTTATTAAGGTATAATTAACATATAAAAAGCTGTATATATTTAAGTATACAACCCAGTGAATTTGGGGGTAGGTATATATCCATGAAACTATCACCGCCTTCAAAGGCATAGACATATCCACCACCTCCAAAAGTTTCCTCCCACCCCTTTTATTATTAGCACTATTATTATCATCATTATTATTTTCCATGGTAAGAACACTTAAGATAAGATCTACCCTCTTAGCAAATTTTAAGTATACAATATGGTATCGTTAGCTACAGGCACCATGCTGGTGTAGGTGTCCAGAACTTATTTCAATACCTTGCACAACTAAAACTTTATACCTTCTAACCATCATGTCCCCATTTCCCTCTCTCCCCCGCTCCTGGAAACCATCAGTCCACTTCTATGAGTTTAACTGTTTTAGATTCCACATATAAATGAGATCATACAATATTTGCTTTTCTGTGTCTGGCTTATTTCACTTAGCATAATGTCCTCCAGGTTCATCCATGCTGTTGCAAATGACAGAATTTCCTCCTTTTTAAAGTCTGAGTAACAGTCCATTGCATGCATATTCCACACTTTATGCGTTCATCCATTGACGTATATCTGGGTCTCTTCAGTATCTTGGCTGTTGTGAATAATGCTGCAATGAGCAGGCGAGTGCAGGTGTCTCTCTGAGTCACTGATTTCGACTCAGAAGGTGAGGCTTTGTAAATAAAGACCTCTTCACCTGAAAACGTATTTTCTTGACTACAGCAGTGGGTTTGGGTATGTATGTCAAGGGATCAATTTGGAGCCAGGGACATGTGCACCGCACTGGGAACAGGAGGGACAAAATAAGAAGTGGGGTGTGTGATGTAAAACTCTATCTCTTCTGTAAAATATCGAACAGAAATCTACATTGCTGCCTCATGATGTTCATGCAAATAAATTCTTTTGGGAAACTGAAGAATTGGTAACTGCAACATCCTTTGTTAGGGCCTTCGGGAAATTAAGGTGATGTCAAGTACATCTTCTCAGCTGGACACAGAATTTCTTCTAGAAAACTTAACAATATGCACCTACAGTAGCCTCATTTGTCCAAAATACCATAATTAAATCTGCAGGGACAATTATGTCCCAAAAAGAACTGTGGCTATGTATTCTACTATATGGAATGGGCTGGAATCAAATATATAGGAAACCCATAATGTTTCTGAGAGAATTGCAATGGCGAAAGTGTGGCCAGCTTGAACTTAAAGAGGCTCTATGAAGACTTCTGGGGCCTAACTCTCTACAGGCAGAAAACAAGCTGAGAAATCTGCTCACCCATCAAGAGGGACGTATTTTCCAGAGTGTCCTTCAGAAGTGGACAAGGAGGGGTGATAAAAGAAAGATATCTCAGAGGGAAAAGCCAAGACCTATGGAGGAACTCGCAGTGAGCTGTTCCCAAGGAACAGAACTGATACTTTATCAAAGAACATTTCTACCCCTAGAGTAGCAGCATCTGCCCAGTGTGATTTCAAAACTGCTATGAACGAGTGACCACTGTGTGCCTCCCATGGGGACTTTTCCCCCTTTCCAATGGGAGTGTTGGGGTTATCCACCCTTATTTTTCTACTTTGTAGTGGATGTGTGCAGACAGCTAACTTGTCTTTTCAGTTCATAACTACCGGATCAAAAGGAGCCACATTCAGATTGGACAATGATCACTAGATCCTGGATCTAAAACCTGATGCTATTATTGGATAAAAACTTTTGGGAGTTCTGGGCTGAAAATGAGCATATTTTGTACATGGGATATATATGTGAATAATTTGTGGCCAAGAAGGCATACGGCAATAGATTGCATTAACAGCCCTTGGGCTTTTGATGAAGCCATGTTATTTGCTTTGGTCGCTAGGATAAGGTATAATACAGTGGCAATGTTTTAGTTCCAATCTAAGTCTTTAGAGGCACTGCATGTTTTGAATCGCACTCTTGTGCATCTGCCATCTCTATGAGAAGAATCTGCGAGGGCTCACACACTGTCCCCAGGAGGAGGATGAGGGACATATGGACAAGAGCCAAGTCACTCCATCTGAAATGCAGACACAGCTAGGCAGAAATCAGCCAGGCTGAGAGATACATCGCGTGGGCGTACATGCATTCACACACACATTCCTGTTACTAGTTTGGATTGAACCTTGTGATTTCAAATCTTAATAAAAATTAAAAATCACTTTCCATTGGCAATTTTGTGGAAATTTAACTCTTGAGAAATTATACTAAAAAAAGTCAATTGCAGGACAAGGTTGAGATTGACTCAACCTTGTTGAGATTGATTGAGGGTGATGAGCCTACATGAGCCTCAGACAATGTGTCTTTTATAGGCAGAGAAGCCCAGGATTGGGGTTTTTCTCCACTTATTTTGTCTTCTCTTCCAACCTGAACCCCTCCAGTAATTTCAGTCCAATCTGAGGAACTGGCTCTATTTTGCACTC